TAACAAATAGTGAAGTTGGTTCAAGAAGTACTGCCAGATTCACATCTCAATAGTATACAAGAAATGAGAAAAAGCATTATCTTCACATTACTGTCATTTGTTTGAGTAGTCTTGATGCATTTTATTTTGACCTATTTTTGATATGCTTTCTATATTAGAGTGCTGATACTGAATATTTGTATTCATGGTTTGTCTGTATGACTAATTGAAGAAATTTGTAATCTTCTCGTCTCGTGTTGGCATTACATTACATTGTTTTGTATTAAATATGCTGCCTCTTTTAATCTGTGGTTTACAGATGCTTATTTCTTTTCACATTCATGGTAGTATTATCCTATTAAGGGTATTTGTGATTTATTATTGTCTTTGTAAAGGCCATCTCAAAACAATATGCAATGTCACGTTTGGCTGCAAAAATGAATTTGTTTTACAAATATGAAACATGTTTATGGACTACATTGCTAGCTCTTCAAAATGCCCATCAATGAGGCAATTATTTTAGATTTTTCTTCTAGCTAGATGGTGAATTCATGGTAACAAATGTAATGACTGTGTCTATACTTGCCTGTAGGGCTTGAACTCCTGGAACTTATGTTACTGTCATAGTTGGGGGCAGTGCTGGTGAGCAAGCTCCAAGACTACCACCTGCAATGCAAAAGTCACTTGGACTTGGCCTGACCCAAGAGTAAATTGAATTTCACTTAAGAAGCCCGCACAGCTGCCTGTTCAGTCTGGGACACAGATGGTCATGATGAGGAACAGGCACTGAATGCACTTTCTAACTCACCTACCACCTGAGGGAGCCTTACTGCTGGCTCTTTTTTAGCAAGAGTCAAGCAAGTTGAAAACAAGAGATTTTTAAATGCAAAGTTTAAAACCATAATTTCTCTTCCACCCACCCAGCAGAAAATAGGGGCAGCTGGCTGAATCCTGTGGTGAAATGGGTCAGAGGAGCAGTGTGAGCACAATGGTGGTGGTGTACCCAGCTGGTAGGAAACTGTTATGGTAACTGCCCCTTCCCAGTGCAGACTGGTGCCTGGCCACGTGAGCACTATTTCTTCTCCTCTCCAAAGGGGAGTAAAAAGTAGCACAAAGTAGGGACCTAAGAGTTAAGGATTCCTGTTTGAGAAACTGGAGGAATTTTCCTTGCTTGCTTTAGGGATACTGAGCCATCTTGTAAGTGGTGTGGCTGTCATGAAGGTTCAGATCCAATACGGAGCTGACAATTAGGCTAACATGGCATTGAAATCAAGGTAGAGTCTCAGTTCTCCACTTAACTGTTTCTGTTAGAAGTTTTCTGTATTTCTCCAACTTCATTGAAAAAAGGCCCACAAAAAGCTGAAACTAAGATTTTTATGAGGGTTGGTCCAGAGGAAATGTATAATTGTTTATAAGTTGGATATTCTCAGGCCTTAACATTATTGACTATTGCTAAATTCATCAAAGATGACAGAACACTGGAATATAATCATTATATTCAGGAATGGAAAAATAATTAAGAACATAGGTAAGTCCTTTTTCTGATTTTCTTTAGAAGTGTCTGGTAAGATATAACAACCTGGTCTCTTCTGGATGCTTGCAGAAACTATTCCTACCCATGTTGCACCACCACCTCACCGAACAGGACCACAACTCAACTGCTCCTTCAGAGCTATGGCAAAGAAGCAAGTGAAATACTTTGCATGTTGTACACAGCATGCTCAGGAGGAAGCGGTGGCTAGTTTTCATCCATAAAAAAATGAAGCTTGCAGGGAATATGAAAGATCCATCAAAACACACAGGCTCCAAACGTGCAGCCTGGCCATACAAAGGCACTGGAAGGCGAGCCCAGAGCCTGAGGCCAACCTGCACATACCAAGGCAGAAGCAACCCTGGCTGGTGCTATTTCCAGGGTGCAGAGCCCTGCCAGGATGGAAGCCCATCACAATTCAGACATCTTCCCCCTTACTTACCCAAAACAGCTCCTTCTGAACCCAAAGCTTACAGCTAGGGACCAACCCTGGAAGTAACAATGCTAAGAGTGGGTTGCAGCCCCAGGCTCTGGCATTCAGTGCTGATGCCAAGCTTCTACACGAAGCCCCCTAAGCATTGATTCGTTGCACAAAAAGCTGAAAGTGATGGGATTTTCTGAGAAAAATCTGCAGGGTGATAAAAAGAGCCTTGTTGCAAGGTATTGGTCTGTTATGAATGCATTTCTGTGAGCTCTTTGTATGTTAAACATCCTTTTGGGTCTTTTCCCAAAGGTATGTTAAATGACAGGTCAGCATCTCCTGCCCTATCCAACACAGTTTCACCTGCCACCCTCTTTTTAGTAAGATTCAGTTTTGTCTTCATGAAGTGCAGCAGTCCAACCACACCATTCTGTTTATAGAGGTATTTTGATCTTTTGCCCTGTTCTTTTTCCACAGTAGGGGAAATGGTCTTTAATGCACAAGTTGACCTTTGAATGTCAGGTCCACATTACCAACAGTTAAAATTGCAATTAATATTTGTTAGGGCTAATAGCTAGCACGCATAATGAAGGACCAATCAGCTTACATTCCTCTTCCTTTTTTGCTTTTTAGTAATAATCAGGTGAGACTATGCTTGATGTTTGAATAGCATCAATTAAATTCCTGACTTGTAAGCTTGTGTTCTTTTTGGTTGCAAGAGGGGAACATGCATCTTGAAGTTCTGGATGGAGGTGGACTTGCCAGCTTCTTTCAGGGTCCAGTTTACCAAACTGACTATAATGTCATCGTTGGCTTTCTGACTGTCACCCAGGTCCTTGAGGATGTTCAGTGTGTACCTGAGCACAGGCAGAAAGAACAAGATGAGGCTCAGAGCCTGGGCTAAGACCCAGCAAGCGCACAGCCTAGATGCAATGCAAGTCCATGGCAGCATAGAAACTGTTCATGTAGTCTCAGCTCTGCTTTGGTTTAAGCTGCTTTAGCAAAAAGGAAGAACCATCTATCTTATCTGATTTCTCCTAAAGCATTTAGTCTTTCTAGCCTTCCCAGTCCTTTAATAGCAGCTCACAAAATTGCTTGGGCTCAGGACGCTGTTAAACTGTTTGAGCATTGGCAATTTGGTTCAGAGGGGCAATGCATTAGCTAGGAATTGCAGATCAATTCATAAGTTAGCATCTTGCCTCTACCGCCCTACGGAGAGCTGACACGCAGGGTACTTACTGAGCTAATCTGCGGGTACTTACTTGCGTTGCCCTAGAATTCCGCAGAACAAGGCAACAAAAAGCAGTATCAACTTTATTACCGGCTATTGAGTTTCTCCTTCCCCCATTCCAGTTCTGAAAGGGGTTATGAAGCAGCCCTGGAATGCTTCTCTCACAATTTCTGATTAAATATCAGAGCAGATAGATGTAAATACAGTGGAATCTCAGTATATCAATTTGCAAAAATGGAGGGGGGGGGGGGGGGGGGGGGCAGTTACCAGTGGGTGCCCCGTGTGCCCCTCTGGAGGGTGTGGGGGGGAAGAGCTGCTGCTACACAGCCCATCACTGCTGGGGGACACGGCCGTGTGTGGGGCCGTGCACACCCCGTGCACCGCCGACGCGGCTTCCCGCGGCTCGCTGCAGGGCTCTTCCCGCGCAGCACCGCGGCGCTGCTCCGAGCCGCGGAGCGCGGGAACGGCGCGCGCCGCTCCGCGCCTGCCGGCAAGCGGCGCTCGCGCCACTCCCGAGCCCATTGGCGGGCCCTGCCCGCGCGCCGGTCAGCCGAGCAGCAGCGGCTAGGGTGAGCCTCGTAGGGTTTGATAATAAACCGAAAAAGTCGCCCGTGTGAGGAGCTGGGGGATGTTACAGAAGGCACAAATTAATTAGGAACCTTGGACAGTTATATTAGAGAACAGCGTAGTATTTGGGGATGATTTTTAAAAGAAAAGTGGAGGTCATTCGGGGAGGGCAGAGTGAGCTTTACAGCCGGGAAAGCTTCAGGCGGTTTAAAGGGAACAGAGACAACGCGGGAGGGGGGCAAAATGCACGTTTGTTCAGGGAAAATCAGAGGTAATGCGGACAGAGAGAGACAGAATGAGCATTTCAAAGGGAAAACCTAAGAAAAATTAGAGTGAACATAGGTGACGTTTTGGGAGGGAAAAGCGGGGGTAATTTAGAGGGTACAAAATAAGCCTTTTGAGGAGGAGGGAAATATGAGGAAATTTGCAAGGAAAAGACGTCCTGGACCCCGGGGGGGAGAGGGGGAGCACGGACGTTCATACACTACAGGTAACACGGGATATTTTGTGGGGAAAATCCGATGTAAGGGATAAATGAACATCTTTACATGGAAAAGTTGAAGTAAATTAGAAGGGAAATTGTGACGTTTTCCAGTTGGAAGAGCTGACACAAAATAGCACAAACTGAGCATTTGAGGGGTTTGGGAATATGAGATAATTCGAAGGGGACAAGTATTTGGGGGGAAGAATATGAGCTAATTTGGAGGGCACAGAATAAATATGTTCCGAGGGCAAAGCTAATGTAACTTAGGAGAGAGGTGAAATTTTGCATGGAAAACTTAATACAGAGATTAAAAGCAGTGGCGTTTTTTTTTTTCAGGGAAAATCTGAGGTAATTTAGTAGGCAAAAATTGGCATTATTTTACAGGGAAAAGCTGAAGTCAGAGGGGACAAAGGTGGCATTTTTTGAGGAAAACGTTGAGGTAATTTGAAAAAAAAAGATTTTTTTTTTTTTTAAAGGGAAAAGATAATGTAAATTAGGAGGGACAAAGGTGACATTTTTGGGAAGGAGAATCTCAGGTAACTTTGGCAAAAATGAGCATTTTTCTTAGGGAAAACGTGAAGTAAGTTAGAAGGGTCAATAGTAGCATTTTTTTGAGGAAAATGATGAGGTAATTTGTTGGCCAAAATGAGCATTTTTTTTTTTCAGGGAAAAGGTGAAGAAACATAGAAGGGTCAAAGGTGGCATTTAAAGGTGGCATTTTTTGAGGAAAACGTTGAGATAATTTGTGTGAAAAAAATAACTTTTTTTTCTTTTTTTTTCTTTTTTCTTTTTTTTTCTTTTTTAGGGAAATCTGAATTAACAAAGGTGGAATTTTTTGAGGAAAATGTTGAGGTAATTTGTGTGAAAGAGATGGCATTTTTTTTTTAGGGAAAAACAAGTTTGTTAGAAGGGACTAAGGTGGCATTTTTTTGAAGGGAAATCTGAGCTAAATTGGGCAAAAATGAACTTTTTTTGTTTTTTAGGGAAAAGCTGAAGTAAGTTAGAATGGTCAGGGGTGGCATTATTTCAGGAAAATGTTCAGGTAATTTTTGGGCAAAAATAAGCATTTTTTCCGGGGAGAAATGGAAGTAAGTTAGGAGGAACAAAGGTGGCATTTTTTTTTCTAAAGGGAAGTCTGAGGTAACTTGGGCAAAAATCAACTTTTTTTTTTTATGGAAAAGCTGAAGTAAGGTAGAAGGGTCAAAGGTGGCATTTTTTTCAGGAAAATGTTGAGGTAATTTGTAGGCAAAATGAGTATTTTTTGGGGGGAAAGCTAAAGAAAATTTGAAGGGTCAAATATAGTATTTCTGAGGAAACAAGGTAAAAAAGCTTTTTTTTTTTTTTCTTTCTTTCTGGGATATATTGAGGTAAAAATGAGAGTTTTAGTGGAAAACTTGTGGGAACTTAGGTTGGAAAATCTGAGGTAATTTAGAGGGGACAAGATGAGCAAATTTGGAGGAAAAGGTAATTTACAGGGAAAAAATGAGCAACTATTGAGAGGAAATTTAAGTTGCAAATGTACACATTTGGGGGAAAAGCTGAAGTAGCATGGAGGGGAAAAGATGTTACAATTTGAAGGGAATTCTGGGGTAATTTGGTGTTCACAAAATGAGAAATTTTCTATGAAGCTGAAATAAATTTGAATGGACAAAGTGATATTGTTTTTGTGGGAAGAGCTGATGTAATCTAGGAGGCAAATATATAAAGGTAGAAGTAATGGATGAAAGGTGATAATTCAGGGCGGATTGGGAGATAAAAGAATTTTCAGTGTGATCAGATGATATTGGAGGGAAAAGATGAGAAAAGAGAAAAAGAGAGCAGCTATGGAAAGCAAATCAGAATTCTATCACATTTTGAGGAGAAAATGTGAGGTAGTATACAGTATATACCAGAAATTAGGGGAAAGTCAGAGGAAAATTAAGGAAAAAAAGCAACACATTGGGGGTAAGGGGAGTAGGAAGAAGCTGAGGAAACATCACAGAGAGAGGAACTACGAAACTATGAGAGGAACTAAATTTAGAACTTGAAGGAAAATGACGAAAAATCAGTGGTCATAAACTGACTAATCTTTGATGGAAAAACTTACCTAACTTATCTAACGTGACAAAGGTTTTACATATATATATATTTTAGAGGAAAGAAGAGGTAATCTGGAATGGAAAAAAAAAAATTATGGCAGGTAACCTGACTAAACTCAGGGTATCAGAGGCAGTAAACAAAAACAATATAACTAATTTATAGGGGAGACTGACACAATACAGAAGGAAAAAAATAGTAACATTAGAAGAGGGAAACTTCAAGGTAACATACGCGAGAAAATAAAAAGGAAAATAAGAGGTAAATCCCTCAGTTAGACTCTGGGGACAGACAGAAAAGTTGGTGCTTACTTGTAATATGTAGATCGTGCTTCCTTTACAGCACCAGCCAGTGGTAAAGAAAGAAGCGAAGGCATCAACTGCGAGGCAAGAGTGGTGAAGAAGAGGTGCAGAGGAGCAAAGAGAAAGGCACACTGGGCAAATGGCTGTCCCGGTCGTCAGGTCTGTGGACATGTAAGAAAAGCATGGCCGGCACCTTTGGTGTCCTGGCCAGCTTTGCAAATTGGAGAGAAGGAGCTTCCGTTTGCCTTTGGGACCAGGGCTGCCCCATAACTCGGGGCCCAGCCAGTGCCCTAGTGTCCACTTTGTGGTCCAGGCAGGGGCTTGAGCCCCCTATAAGCAGGGGTGCAGCCTGTCTGGCTGCTGCTTTGCCTGCCCAGCTCCGTTTGCCCAGGGTGCCCGCCTCTGAGCCCAGCTCCAGCACCAGCTGGACCTCTTCTACGTGTCCTTCAGGTGAGAAAAGCTGATCTGCGCTGTTTTTGCTTGGGGTGTGTGTGTGTGGGTGGGGTGACATGCAAGGACAGGGTCTGGAGAGTGGCAGGGGATGAGCTGGGGGCCAGGCAGTGCTGTGGGGAGCTCCCTCCAGGGACGGGGCTCCCCATGTCCTCCCGGCAGAGGGGTTGGTGTTTTGCCAGTCTAAGCGTGTTGTTCTTCCTTTGCAGTGGCAGCCGGTGGCGAAGAAAGAAGAGGCATCATGTGGAACTGTGAGGCAAGAGTGGTGAAGTAAAGGTCTGAAATGAAAGGTGCTTCTACTCCTTTTTCAATATTGTGGTAGTTTGAAATGAAGTAGTCTGATTAAATAAATCCTGTAAATATGTAGTAAGTTTATAAGACTCTTTTGGCAGTACTTTGAATTTTTCCTGTATTCAAATTAGAAACCTTGACAGTAATGATGGTCCCAAATCAATTGAAATATGGCCTTTCATTGCCCTCCCTCCTCCCCCTCTCTGCCGCAAATGAATCACTTTTAAGGACAACTTCATGACAGTAATAATGAACTTTGCAGCTATATCCTTATGGTATATAGACTCATAACTACCTTCTACTGTAAAACTTTCATGTTGAAACAACACTACTGTCATATTACTTTTCAAGGGTTCATTTTATCTATAAAAATAATTTTATATTCCATCAAGTTTGCTCTTCAGGTTTTTGAACCCTACCATTCATAATATTTGCATCTTCCCTTTCAAGAAACTCCTCACGATGTAGTGTGGTTTTATATCCAACAAAATTTTAAATAAAGAAGTTATATTTTTCATGCATATTTTTTGTAAAAATTATGTTCTAGGTACACACAACTGAAACAAAATACATACAAATGTTAATTCACTTTCATTTTCAGGTGCAACTATGCCATCAGCAACATGGTATCAATCATGTCTTACTGGGACTAGTTCAAGTATAGTGGTATTCTCATATATAGTTTAACTTAAAATACAAACAAAAACTCCTTTCTCATTTAGCATCATGAGCTGGTCTGCATGTTCCTACTTGTGTTCCTACTTTGCGAAGTTAAGGAGATGGTCAAACACAGAATAAGTTTGTACCAAATGACAGCAGTTAATCAGGTTTACAGATAGAAATAAGATCCATTCCCATTCCAACTCATACTGGCCACCTCAGAGCCCTTGGGGTTGGGGTGGGGACAACACCAAGTATCATAGACATAATGTGGTGAAAACAGACAGCTCCAGAGCAGCATTGAAGGTGCTATGATTGTATTGACTTGATAAATCAAACTTTCCTTTGGGAAAAGAGAACATCTGTTGGTTAAAACTCCTCTCCCTGAGAATGTTGATGGGATTTTGTCTTGCAAAGCAAACAACATCCTTTGAACATCAACCATCCCTTAGGTCTTTAAAATGGTGGTGAGCCACTATCCCTGGAGATCTTTAAAAGACATTTAGATGTAGAGCTTATTAGTGATATGGTTTAGTGGAGGACTTGTTAGTGTTAGGTCAGAGGTTGGACTAGGTGATCTTGGAGTCTCTTCCAACCTAGATGATTCTGTGATTCAACAGTTCCTAGGCCAACAGCATTCCAGCATGGACACAGCTGGTCTGATACTCATGCACCCAGGGTGGCAGGTTTGGTTTTTGTTGTGTTTTGGTGTTAATTTTAATTTTTACATGGATCAACCCTTTTATATTCACTTCATTCTTCTGCCCATCAAGCAGGCAAACATGGTCATGACCACCTTCAGTTTCACCTCCACTAGATCTGGAAGAGCATAGACTTGGGCACCAATTCTTCTTGCTATGGACACAGCATACCTATTTTCAATGGAAAGAGGAATGTGTTATTAAAAGTTGTAATTAATATTTGATAGGGTTAATAGCCAGCATGCATAATCAAGGACTCATCAGCTAACATTTACATTCCTTCTTCTGCTTGCTTTTTAGGAATAATCAAGTGAGTATTATCTTCTATCTTATTATTGGCAAAGGTAATAGATATAAAGCAAAGAGATTGAAATAAGCTAAGTCCAATCAAGAAATGTGCCACAAGGGTCTAGTCATTCTTGCTCTTTCCCAGAACAGAAAAGCAAACAGTGTAGCTCAGTATAAATCATTTACAGCAAAGACTGTCCCCTAAGATTCAGTCTCAGTTTTCAGGAGGTGTCAGATACCAGAATACTAATACTGATTTATAATACAGAGCACTGTCGGATCTAGGTAAGTACATGCTGCTGAATAATAATCACACATGAGACTATGTGGTCTCGGGAGATTTTCTTCTGTTATCTTCAACAAAGCATGTTTAAAGAGATATGAAAGGCATGGTTTGGCCCTATCGTTAGAATTTCCTAAGTTGCTATTGCTTCACTTAACAGAAGTTTATGCTTTTCCTTTTAAGATTTCTTCTGTGTAGTGATAACATTTTCTATAGCATCTGTGCAAACTTATATTGTAACAGCATATTTAAACTACAAGAGTTACGTCCACTTCCACTGGCCTTTGTCCATGCCATCTGCAATTTATAAGCCTCTTCATCTTTACATATGTCTGCAGGTACTATACTTTTGTTACTTTTCTATGAAATTAAAAAATACAGACTTCTTAAAAATTCTGCCTGGGAGTTAACAGATCTGAAACAGTAGGAAGTGTGCAATTAGCTTTGTAGCTTACTATTAATATATAAGTAATAATTAATGGAATATCCAGTAATGTCCTCTTTCTTCGCATAGGTAAGTAGACATTAAAAGAAACTAAGCACTTTTTTTTTTTTTTCCAAGGGAAGACTAACTCTAAAGATAATCAAGCAGAACAAATTTTGCATGTCTTCCATACTTCTCAGGATGTCATCTTACGCAAGATGCAGCTTTTTCAGTGGAACATCAACATACATTGAAATATTAGCATTCTAAGAGGCAGTTTGTAACAGATGCTTTACAAAATCAAGTGTTTTGGCATGTTTCAGAATTGATCAAAAATACTGTTAGGTTTTCACTTAATCTGAAGTTTCAGCAGAGTGGGATGACAAACATTTCTTAGTAAAATTAGTTCAGTTCAACCACTGGCTCTGTTTTCTTTGTCATAAAGCAGTGAAGACCAGCAGATTTTTAATTAGCATTCAGGCTTAAATTTGGTCTGAATTACTGATCAGTGTTAGAACACTTTTGTCTATTTTGGTATATGACAGGGGGAATTCATAACTTGTCATCAGTTATCAGTTTCATTTGTTGTTTGGACTACTTGAGGACAACCATCTAATAAAAGCAGCCATGTACATGGAATAGATTGTCTGAAAATTTTGTTTTGAAATAGTGTCTGTTTGAATAACACGACAAAACTGTGCTCTTAAAAAAACAAAACAAAACAAAAAAAAAACACAGAAATTGTAATTTGCAGTTTCTAGGTCAATAGGCATATTCAAAGAATTCTACTTACTAATTTAGCAGTTATACGGCTTTCTTATTCTTCCAACAAAGTTTAAAATTCTTGCACAAAGTTAAATGTTCTATCTAACAGTTTTTATGAGGTTCTGTGCAACACCAATAAGACTTCAAACTGTTCAAGAATGAATCTTATGCCACCCCTTTTTGCAAAACTTGTTTGCAAATTTATAAGCTATACTATATAGAATCCTGCTACGGATTTAGTTTAGTGAAGCTTGTCAGTAGATACAGTCTATGGCTTTTATTTTTCACGTGGACAAATCATTCATGGATGAATTCATATCTTGAAGCACAGTATAAAGAAGATTGAAGAGTCTGGAGGTCATTAACTATACTATTGTCAGAATAAGACTTGGATAGTCTGATTCCAGGACAGTGGCCTGAAAAAAGAGCCCCAAGGAGGGGCAGTACTAGCAGTGTTGGCTTTCCTTTTGTCTCTCTTCAGAGGGAAGCATGAAAAGCTTTTCATGCTTATAAAAATCTCTATACTACAAACCTGGATTTCTTAAATTTCTTGGGATACTTGAAAATGTTATTGTGACCTTCATTTACCAATGGTTGTAGTGTATCAAAGCAAATGACAATGTTATTATGTCATTATTTTTCCTCTGCAGTAGTATTCATACTGTAGGAGCCTGCACTCTGGAATTTGAGCTTCATTTTGTTTCATGGACAGCTTTGTCGCATTGTGACTTAGTTCCTTGGGGTTGTGTTGTTTCATTCATCGTATGCTGAAATAATTCTCTTCTGGCACTTAATATGCTGTGACATTTGAGGAGAATACAGTCGTACACTGAGGAACAACTGGGAATATCCTACTCAAAATAAATTGTTTTTAGCCTATCCTTCTGCGTATCCTTTAATTAGGAGGCTAATTGTCAATGTCTCACTATACTTTAAGTGCTCTTTAGCTACTCATTTTTTTTTTTCTTTAGCAGAAACTTCAGGGGGGGGACTATTTTTCATGTTTAGAAAATATTTAGGCCTCCGAATATGTAAATTATTACCTTTGTACCTTTCATTTAAATAATGAGCTTCTATGGACTCAGTCTTCTTCAAATGTCAAATTGTCCTGATGTCGCACATCCTGAGTAGATACGTATTTTGGTCTCTGAGATCTCATATTTTTCAGCTGAAGCACATGTAGGCAGTTAGCTCCCTGTTGACTAAACATCTAGGAGGCTCATGTTCAGTTGTTTACTCCAGCTGTGATGAACAGCTCTGAGCAGGATTTCTGTTTCATCAAACTCCACTTAAAGGAAAATCGGAGCACTGGGGGCTGGGGGCTCTCAGTTACTGCTCCTCTGCTATGAAACTCCCTGTTTTTCTGTCTCTCTGATGCATTGTTGGCTTATCCACTGCAAAGTGCCAGGTATTTTTCTTTGTGCAAGCATCTCCTTTGTTGCAGCTACCAGAAGACCAATGGGAGAGAAAGGAGGAGTAACCTGCAAGAAAAAGTAACATATTGTTGTTGGAGATGCAGGTGAGGCTATTTATCTCACAATAACATTTGTATACACATTGTCTAGGCAATACCAGAATGGCCAGGTTAAGATGAACAAACTTTCCTACTTGATTGTTCTAGAACAGTAGTAGGCAGGGTCTCTGAATTACATTGGAGCTAGGAGAATTTGTTCCACCAAATGTCAGAATATTTCAAAAATAGGTGTGATTATATAGATACTTTTAAAAATCATTTTGACTTAGTGACTTGCATTTGCTGATTGTAAAAGTACTTAGTTATTTGTCTTCCCCTTATAATCAAAACAGATTATTTTATTTGTTTTTCTTATAATCTGTTGGTGATATGTGAGTGCAGTAGTTGGATGCAAAGGTACATATCTTTAGAATAAGCACTGTTTTCCATATAATTTTGAGTTAGCTTGCTTCAGGTAGGTAAGGAGTTGTGTTGTCATCTTGCCACCTTCATCCTCATTCAAGCTGATTTTTCTTACTTTCTTTCCACTTGGGTGGGAATACGTTAAATAGATTATTTATACAACCTGTCTATCCAGATACAAGCCTGAATATCTGTCTGTGTCTCCCACTGCACTAGTGATCATAGGTGCACTTAATAGCTCTGAAAATCTGGCCTAAGGAGTTCATTATAATGCCAGATCCCTTGAAGTACTCCTCAGGAAAGATAATTTATAGAAGGGCTTGAAAATATGTCATTTAAAACTAGTCTCCCACGGAGCAATATTAGCATTAGCTTTGAACACAATTGTGGTTTATTATACACATATCTGACAGTTCCTCTCTGAAAGAGTAGTTTGCCTATGAAGCTGCACTTTGGCATGTTCCTATTCCTAGGTACTCCTTCAAGTTTTTATATTCTTTGTTACTCTTTG